AGTAACAAAGGGCATCGCTACTAGGAGCAAGGACGCTACTAGTAGCTACTCGAGTTTTCTACGCACCTTTGACACGACCCCACCTCTGCGAGCATCATGCCAATGGATTCCCAAATCTGGTCAACCCAAGCCTTTGCACTGGCTGCTTCAACGCTGGGGGCTCAGCTTTGGGTAGTTCTGCTTCTTTGGTCTGTGCCTGTGCCTTATGCATTCCAACGACCATGTAACCACTCTATGCATAGATACTTATAATGTTCTATATGTGTATTTCTGGCAGGGGTCAGCCACAAAAGAAAAGGAACACTCGTGCCGGTGCACCCACCAATCAGGCACGTAGGTGAGGAGGCCATCGGATCTGCCATGGCCGGGCAAATCGGGTACCAGCACCAAAGCACCTCGTCGCGCCCATTCAGCAGGGAAGTGCAAAAAGAGGTCACCACTGCCCATATAGCCTCATTGAACAAGAGGAACCAAGCATTTGGCTGAAATCAGGAAAAGCGATAGGCCATCCGATAGGCCCTGGAACATGCGATGTCAATGTTTTTGACATGGCCAGCTGTAACGAACAGAATACAATAACAGAAAACTCGTAGCAATGCTGCCGCAGGGCCATGCAGAAAAATGCAAACATGCGTTACCACCTGCCAAACAGAAAGGCTCCAAGCGCTGCACAGGTTTGGGTTCATGATTCTATGATGATATTGGACTGGAGTTCCCATAAGATCAACCCCCCCGGTTTGAATCAATCAATCACGACATATATGTTGAGTTCCCATGCAACAAGCTTGACCGAAAGCAAACCCAAGGCCAAGGTGGTCAATTCCGAGCCGGAGCTCACAACAGGCACAGTTCTGCGCAATGAGTTGCCATAATCTGCTAGGATGTCAGGTGCCTATTGTTGCACCTGCAAACAGTATCATTTTCTCAACTATAGATCGCAAACGACATGCGCGCACATCTAGCACAAGCAATGTGATGGGACAAAGGCATACAATCATCCAGCAGCTAAAGAGAACTGCAGCACGGTTTCCTTCAGGACAGCCTATATTCTTGATATTTCTTGATCTATCAGGCATGCATGATCCTCTATGAATACTTTCCTCCAAAGCGCCAATCCCCCGCCGTTTCTGGCCTTCTCCTTTGGCCGAATTGCCTGGTAAAAGATTTTGGCACCATCCTGGACCCATAAAAGGGATGCGGCAAGAAAGCTAGGCCTTGCAATCCGCCCCACACATTGTCACATCGGCGCATGAACAAGTTCGTAGTCTCAAATATATATTATACATTATACATGTATATATACGTACTGTATACTGCAATTCACTTCTTGGTGGCAATGTTCTTTTTGGAGCACAAAAAGAAAATGGCATCGCACTACCAGAGTAGCAATTGCGAGTTGAATTCCTTGGCCTCGACCCAAGGGTTGGACAAAACATCGCATCTATATCGCATGTCTAGAGTCTAGCGTCTATCTGTCGGAATTTGCATCAGGTCACTCACATCATTGACCCTAGAGTCTAGAGTCTAGAGCCATGGCGAAGCCTTGAGCTGCATCATCTCACGCTTGAGCTGCAACTTCGGGTCGTTCATTACCTGCCCGTGCAGTTTGAAGCTACGAGTGCAGCGGCGTGAGGGGGATCATGCCTTGTGTCGCTGATGGGTCTGGACAATGTTGTGATGCATCCTTTGAATTCCTCCTGTGTCTTGTGAACAGGTTTCTCTCTAAAAGGTAAGCCGACGGACGGATGCAAGAGCCAAACATTGTTTTACAGATTGAAGATCCAGAGCTGTCGTATACGCCCGCTTTTCAGGCGCTCAATTGAAAATCAAAGATTGCATTACTTGCCAGGGACAGGGCAGGGATTTCGCCTCTGCCTTGGCAAATGCTTCATCACAATGGTCGCAAAGAACCACCACACCCCGCAGCACATGAGATTGGAGAACACCGATGCAACCTTTTAGGGATTTCCAGTGTACGACTAACACCAGCTCTGCCCTGTCGTTGGAATCCTCTCGAGCTGATGCCCAAGACAAAAGGGCGGCATTTCCATAAATCACCTTGTAGCCCAAAGCCCGTATGGCGTCGGCAAAGCGCTGTCCGACGCGCCCGTGAAAGCATTCACCAATCAAGGCAAGGAAACTTCCAGCACGAGAAGCCTGCTTGGAAGCCTGCTCGGCCAACTCCAAAAGCACTGGGTCTGCCAACACGTCCAGCTTGCGACCAAGCTTTCGCCAGCTGGTCCCGTGATCAATCACAGTGAGGCTGGGCAACTGTGGTGATTTCACGGACTCTTTGGCCACTGCTTTGGTGCTGGGGATGCTGTCTATTGAGGTGTCGTGCACATGTTTGCTCTCCACGCAGGCTGGAACTGTAGCCGGCCGACTTACATTTCGAGGTCGGACACGGATACTAGATCTAAATGTCCTCTGGTCTGATGCAGGTCTCAGTTTGGGCACCAGGTCTCTTGCCTCGTGGTGCCTTGGCACTGGGAGTTCAGGAGACAAAGAGCGTTGAAAAGCTTGCTGCCTTCGGGTTTGCATCTTCGGGGCTGGGAGTGTATGGTTTGGCGGAATCTCACAGGATTGAGATGACGCCTCACCCTCCCAGGTTGTTTGCACCTGCACGGCTTGATGCGGACCGATCCAAACTGGATTGCCCGTCAATGACTTGGCCCCTTCCAGATGACAACGGACCTGCCGCAAACCATCAAGTGGCAGCAATACCTCCGCCTCTACTGCAGAGCTGCCGCCAAAGCGAAGAGCAAAGCCACTAAACCGGCCCGTGTCCACGATCTTCCCTGTGAGGCAAAACTCATGACAGTGGATGCTAGTGAAGCTAACATATTCTACAAGTGTGAGTCATACAATGGTAGTTATGGATAACACAGGAGAGCAGCCAGTTCCCATCTTCAACACAACCTGAACCATGATTCAATAGACAACCCTCTTCAGCCTGAGATGGGCATCTTGATAGCTTGCCAGGGCGGTAGAAACATGGCCATGCACCGTCTCGGACACCCCCGAGGGTGCAAGACGGAGGCTCGCTTCCATGTGCCATCAACCCAGCTCTGAAGAGAGCCAGCCAGCACACTGCCACTGCTGGTGCCTGCCGTATAGGCACCCAAGGGCAGGAGCAGGGGTCGAGCATTTCGGTTCTCGATCTCTAATCGCAGCTCAACATCTTCACCTCTCCTCCAGCTGGAAAGTTTCAAGAGAGGAAAAGCTGAAGCCGGTGAAGTCTCTGTCGCCGTACATTTCTCTTCCATGGTCTTCCATGGCACATGCAAATTGCACTGACAGTTTTTGAGCAAAAGCATGCAAAAGCATCAAACTCTTTGGTGGTTTTAACAAGCCCAAGTCTGTGACCGATGAATCCAGTGAACGGCATCTTGTGAAGTGAAGGCAGTATCTGTCCGCATCGTAAGAGCGGGACACTTGACATGGATATCTCGCCTTCTCCGCCCCAGGGTTCAGCGGCACTTCAGATGGATAAAGGCTGCGACGTTGCTCCCCAGTGTCGATGTGGGAGATGCCTGCGCCCATGAAGCTCATCCATGGGGCCTACAAGTAGGGCCTAGGGTCATAAGCCATACCTGAATATGTGCAAATCTCTGTGGAATCATTAGTGACCCCGGTCAAACGGTCAGCGAGTCCTGCGACGTTCGTCCGTCGGCGAGTAGCTAATGCTCTCCAAGAAGCGCCGGAGGAGCCACCATCGGCTGCAGGCAGCGGCCAAGAGTCCTGCCGCCGGTGGAAAGCTGCAGGCAGTGACACCAGTGACCACGCTTCTCAGAGGTTTCACGTGTTGGAACCGCGTTGCTGGCAAATGCCAAATCAAACAATCAAGTCAATCAAGTCCAAAGTGTGCCTGACACGCTGACACAAAGCTCAGTGCAGGCTGTTCCCGAAACCCTGGCCTCCTCCAATGACACAGATACCCTCCACCAACACCATGTTCAGCAACTGCTCTCCAAGGGTGGGCGTGTTATGTGCTGGAACTGTCTTGCAATTAATTATACCCGTATGCCGTTGATCCAAGTGTTGTTGGCGGATTTGTTCGTCACAGTCTTGAGCTCACACAACGCGGCAGAAAAATGGGGGTGGCAGTCACATTTGTGTAGCCTATTGTGCTGCCTCAAGGCAGCAAACTGATTGGCACTGTGCCACACAACCGCACATATCTTGATGCATGTCTTTACGGGAAGCACGGTCACGTGACGGCAGAGATCCTCTGTCAAAACAGAGCGTGGGTTTCTGAGTGGAAATCAGCCAAATGTAGAATGTAGTAGTAGTTCAATCGTGTTCAAGTATAGTAATTAGTAATAATCCTACTTGCAATATTCAGAATTCAGGATTGGTTTTGCAAAGGGTGGGTCTTTGCAATCATCTTTTCAGCATTTACGATTCGTGATTCTTCGTGGTCATGCTTGGGGCGCTCAGTTAGAAATGTCCTTCCTCTCTGGGGTGTGTGTGTGTGTGACTGCTTTGCATACGTTCATGATAGTCTGCGTGGTTGAAGGTTCACCGGACCTCAATTCACAGCCCTTTCGAATCCTCAGACATCTTTATCTTACATATACTATAAATTACTAGCTTCGTGCAAGGGTCCCTTGCCGCAATGACTTCTCGATGCCATCGACATCAAATCAGTTTCAAGTCATCAACATTGACTTTAAAGACCTACCAAACCTTGTGAGGGAACACACCATGCTACTGATGCCGTCCCCGTCATTTCGGCGATATCAACCCACTCGTGCCAACACGTGCCAAGGATCTCGTGTAGAGTCCTTGGAAGTTGTATGGGCCCTGGCCTCCGGTCAACACCCAGCGGAGTAGAAGGTCCAGCTGAGAGAGTCCAGGCTATGCCAGGCTATGCTAATGACATCTAATCTAATGACTGACTAATGATTCTGATGACAAGCATGGCTCAACCCTATCGGGGGCTGCTGATTTTTTTGATTGGTGCTCTTGATTGAAGCCACGTGCCCTGACAGTTCCTTTGGCTCTACATCCGTGGATTTGCCGATCGCACTCCGAGCCGCCCACCTGCATCAGCTCCCTGCTTTTGGCCTCCAATTCCATTCGCAGCGCCTGGCGCTCCTGCCCAAAGAAGGAATCTGGTTGACGGATGTTGACTGTCCACTCTCTTTAAGGTTTTGTATGCCTACCAATGTCAAAGTCGCGGAATATCACATTATGTTACATATCAGAGTGAAAATGAGGGGCAACTGCACGGGTACTACCAGCAGCTGCCCAAATTGGCTTGAAACAATGCACACACCTTCACGCCTTCTCTGCTTGTATCCACGCGGGCTGCATGTTTGTACGGATGGAGACCATTGCCTTACCTTGAGGCAAGCATGGAAAGCTGCAGCAATCCAAAGAAACTTCAACAGGTCTATACAAGAATGTTCTGGCCTCTGCCTATCCTCGATCATCTGACGATCTCCAGATGGACCCCTTGATTCATTCTTAAAACTAAAGTGATGGACTCCCATTTGCATAAGGATGTCCACCACAGCCCAAGGTGTGGCTATGTCATCACCTTCAGACAATGCACTGCGGTGATGTGCTCGCGCTAAAAAAGGCAATTTAGTCTAGTCGCCAAGTGCCAAGTTCGGGAAGAGCAGCAAAGACAGCAAAGGCTGTCCAGTGGCCGGCGACTTGGGCTTGCCCCCAGCTTGGGTCTGTTGTACAAACCAGTCCTAGCAAAATCTATTGGCCGCACAGCGTGAGAAAAAAAAGAAAATGTGTGCAAATTCAATTGCCCACTTCAATACTTGATTTGTTGATGACACATTGATCACCTGACTCTGCCGCTCAACTACCCATGATTGGAGAAATCTCCTGAATACAACGGCGGCAATAGGTGTGGCCTCAGTTGTTCATTAATGCAGTCAATGTATTTAAATGCGTGAGGGGTCTTTGTGTGTCTTTGTGCCTCTAAGTGTGCACTCCGTGCTGTAAAGACCAGCTTTGCATTCCGCGGGCATGCACGGACATGTCCAACAAACATAAGCAAAATCCATGCGATGTCGCTGTGCGCAGTGGGACGTCGAGGCCAGGTACATGTGTTTGGTGGCATAGGCTGTCACATGTGAATGTCAAGCATGTGCATTCCTTGTCTGTATCATCCTACATGTTATCCATTTGTGTGGTCCCCTGAGATATCCGTCTAGGCCCAGGCCTAAGCACAAATCTGGGTCCCTGACCATCAACTGTCATCACCGGGTCCTCTGACAATTTCCGGCCATTGGATGCAATATGATGCAATTGGACTTCGTGTCTAAGAATTCAGTGGGGATGGCATCCGACTTCCCAACTAACAACAACTATATATATAAATTGTCGCGTTCGCCCTTTGAACTGTGACACATGATGACGGAAACCCTCGATGTTGTATGTTGAAACTGTGACAGACCTGGCGCGGTACTCTGGTGCTGTTCCAATGCCATTCCATCTTTTCCTCTTGAATTTCAAGCATTGTCCTCGAGCATTTCGTGACACAAAGGGCAAACCAAGCCATTCACAGTCCTTGGGTTTGGCAGATTCAAATTCAAAGTACAAACCGGCCTACAGCTGCCCCATGCTGCTTCCAACTGCCCCATTCTGACTTTCCCAGAACCCGCTTCTACTCATTCGCGTCACTTCACTTGGAAGCCCGCGCGCAAAAACCCTTTTGCTGTTTGTTGGTACATCGAGCTCAGCATGTCGGATTGAAAATGTAACCAAATGGGATCTTAAAGTGTGAAACCCTATCTTGGGACATCATCATGCAAGCTTACAAGGAGGTATGCGTTCTCTCCAAAGATTGTGGCACCACTTGCGAAGGGCTCCCCAAAGAGCGACTACCACTCCTCCGTCGGGTTCGCCGCCTGCCCGAAAGGCGAAGGCAGGTTGCCTTACCTAACTTAACTCAACCGACTTAACCTAATTGTTCACGACTCTGGCCCTGTTGCGCCACCCGGCAACTAACTCAGAACAAGTCTCAGATTTCAAGTCGGTTCGGCTGTTGCCTCATATACCTACACCATCCATCACCATCCTACACCCTTCGTCCGATCGGCCCACCTGGTGTTCACAACCCTCGTTGGCGTAGCAAAGGACATGATAAATGTCCGGCTGCTCTTGGTCTTGCAAACGTGAATGACCCCGGCCACATAGACCCAGTGTCCGTGAGACCAACGCAGCGCACAGTCGCCATAGGTGAAATTGCGGCTGCCAAGCTGGCCCTGCTCATCCAATGCTGCGGCCTGTTCTTGCACTTGCAGCAACAGCTGAAGCCCTTTAGCACGAAAGATCTCCACAACCTCGAAGAACCGAAACTAGTCATGACTACTTCCATGTGCACATCATGTGTTGCATTGCGTTTGGGACATGTTCCAAGTTGTTTTTAATCATTCTTTGGGACGTATCGTCATATCGGGACCAAAACTCTAAGCATTTCCAAACTCCTCCTCACCCCTCCAGGCAACTGGTCTACCAGCAAGGAAAGCAATAGAAGCTGAAGCAGCATCAACCATAAGGTCCTCCATGTTGATTTCCAGCAAGTTTAGCATTTGCTGAGCAGTTACGATATCTTTCTCACTGTGCTGTGCCTCATCCAGCGGAGGTAAATCCTCTTCATATGGGATGCTGTGGCCGCTACCCCGAGACCGATTGGTTGGGGCCAGGGGCAAAGCTTCATCTGGAGGAACTTCAACTGTTGGAACTTCACCTCTCTCATCTGACTCATGTGACCCATGTGACCGGTCGAGAGATGCATCAGCCCGCGAAACCATCAAGGATCCTTGATCTGTGAAGTCCCGAAGCCCAATCAAATGCCGGGTTGAGCCATCCCAGGTGCCATATCTCACGTGGAAGATTTCCGTCCGGAATTGGCTGCCACAGGAATCGACCAAACGTGTGTGAAAGGCTTGAGCAACGGCGCTTGAAAATTGACATGCATGATCCTCCATACTCAGGTGGCTGCACAAAAGATTCACTGCCCGTGCTGTCTCTGACTGTGGCAAGAAGTCGCTGAAATACATTCCTTTGACACTTGCACCTGGCCGGCTTCTCAGCAGCATGGTTGCCAAGTCTTCCGAGTGCCAAAGCAGGCGCAAATCCTCATCAAGCTCCTCAGGCAAGTCAAGGCATTGAACTGTCTAGTGAATTAGGCCCGATGAAAATGTCCAACACACCGGGTCACAGGGCACAAACAAAGAGATTACTTGCATAATGTTGGATCTTAATTAGCAAACCCCCTAGCAAACAATCGAGGGAGTATGAATAGAATCCCCGCTACAAAAACCATTGTATAGCATCATTAGTAGCATTCGTAGCAGTAGCAGTAGCAGTAGTAGTAGTGGTGGTGGTGGTGGTGGTGGTCGTCGTAAGGATATTAAGTAAGGATGTTAAAGGGGGAGCAATAGTGCAGAACAATAGAAAAGATTAGAACAGTAAACAAAGCCCCAAAAAACACCCTGAGTGAGAAAACCTTTGTGTTATTCCCTCCCACTAAACTATTCAGGATGTTGGAATAATTTGGCGAAAACCTTTTATTATTCCGTTCCATTTTACTAATTTGGATCCAACATTGCCAAGGTCAAACGTCTTCAGAAGAAAAAGAATATGGAACATGAGAATATTCCAGTGAAAAACAGGTTCAATTAAGAACAAAAACTCCAGTGGAACAGGTGCTACTGTGAAATGCCTAATCAGCTCTGTTTGTTGTGGCCTGGTCTGACTGGGGATTGGTGTTGTTTTCCCTCATAACTTGGAGCCTAATCATTCCAACTCTGCAGAACAATACCAACTCTGCTGCGCAGCAGTGGAAAGCACTGGATGGTTCCCAAAGTGTTGCAACAAACTCTAAGATTGGCAAACCGATTCGAGCCAAGGCTCAATGACAGCATCGCAGGTCAGCCGCAGCAATGAGGTCGCCGCACCACATTCCGCTTCCTCACACGAGCGGCGACGAGGAGTCGGTGAGGAGGAGCCGAAAACACGGTTCCACCGGAGCCACGATGACATTGGGCGATGCTATACCAACGCTTGTGTTCGGTTCTGCTAAGCGACTAAGCGAGGTGAAGTCTGTCGAACACCTTGCTGCCGTGCTGACTTGAATTTAAACTAACCTATAACATATGTGCATGTTTCATGCCTGTGTCATATGAGCCCTGTTAATTTCTGAGATGAAGTGAAGTGCCCATACACTGCTGAGGTGCCTACGCTGTAGGTTTCGCGAGGCTTCGCGCGGCGCAGAACCAGGGGCTTCGCGAAGAGGTTTCCCGATGTGGTTTCAGCCTTACATTCTCTTTAAGTTAGCCCTGCCCTCGCAATTGGCCGAATTGGCTACGCCAAAGGCTTCGCGAGACACGAGATTTTGCCACACACACACACATATCATATATAATTATACAATAATGCCTTCGCGGACATTGTTGAAGTTACATATGACATCATATATTCTATAATATGTTCTATTAAAAATGCTCCCGACTGACGACTCAGTAGTGTTCGCAAGCGTCCTGCAAAAGGAAATGGATGTAGTTATGCCTGCACGAAGCCGTTGCGGAACCCCTATCCGACATCAATGGGAGCCTATGCAAAGGCATTTTCCAACCAGTTGCTTATGCCGCGGTAGCTTGCATTAGCATATACACATGACATACATTATCGATATGATGTATATATAGCATACAGCAATAACGTAATAACATATGCAATCTTATGCATGCTTATGCCATGCATAACATTAGTGTCACTAGTGCACTGACTGATAGTGCCAGTGCAATCTGTCATCATCGGCCAGCATCCATTCTTAGTGTCTTAGTGTTTTGGTGCTTATATAAGCAAATGCTTGCCCAACACATGTCACAAGCTTGGGCGGCTGCTTCCGGCAATCCACAGATTCAAGCAAGATTCGGCCCTGCTTTGCGACACCTTCCGTTGCACCTGCTCTGTCAATGAAAGCCTCTGAGACACTGCTGTCGCCGTGACCAATACAAATAAGATCGCCTCGAACCAGGCTGCAACATACAGTGCGTCGCCGCCGCTCTCATAGGTTTTGGTGTTGTCCGCCGCATAGCCATAAATCACCGCAGCCAAACACCCAATGTTGCTGGTAAGCACGAGGGAGATTCTTGTAGCGATGCCAGTTGCAGGCAAGCGAAATGCTGCGAAGGTCATAACTGACCACATTTGCTTCTCCTCCGGAGGTGCAAAAGAAGGGAGGAGTGTGACCACAGTCACCACCGAGCCAAAGCAATACCAGAAGTTGAGAGTCTTCGTCGAAATCAGCCGTGGATACGAGGTCAAAAGGAGACTAACTATGTGGACAATCAAGACCACCCAGCAAAAAGGCCTTTGAAAGACCATGGTCCTTTCGACAAGCATGCTCCACTGGAATGATACTGTAGCAAGAAGAGTGAGCAGAAAAAGGACGCAAGCATATCTGCGGGAGCATTCCACCATCTTCTCACAAATCTTTTGTTCCACGTTGGGATCACCCCAGCCAAAAAAGCCAAAGTAGTTTCTCGCATACTGTCCCAACGTCGTTGCGCGAAAGTCGGACTGCAGCATCCAAAGAAATGCACGAATGCCCTCGCGGTTCATGACCGAGAAGGACCTGCTCGGTTGCTTCGCTTTTCGGCTCGAAGTGATGTTTTTCGACTAGTCCTTATTTCGTGCCTTTTGAGAAGGGTAGGCGGGAAGGGTAGGGGGCAAGTAAGCTAAGTCAACTAAGTCAAGTTATTTTCATTATTAGCCAAGTAGCTACAGTGGTAGTAAGAGAAGCCACTCACCAAGGAGAGCTTGCAACATTCAGCCAAGACACACAAGCGATACAATGAAAGTAGTTTGTGTCACGCAAGCGAGGGATAGAAAGGCAATGTCTTCCGTGTGGACCATCTCGCTGAAGTCGAGGGCAAATCAGCTTGCAGGACTACTTGTGTGGACGAAAAACCTAGTAACGTACATCCTTTGCATGTTCCCTTACTGACTCTGCTGTGGTCTCAAAGCGATGTTCTTTAGAGAGTATGGAGAAATCATTGAATTTGCTCTGGCTCTTTTGGGCCCAAAAAATGCTGCGGGCATGCTGGTCAGGGCCTGAGAATGACGTTGACCCAAATCGCCACGTCTGAGCTCCCAGTGTCACAGGACCTCCCCAAGTGCGTTCAGGTTTCGGCATGGGAGGCGGCAGCTGGCTCGACCCACCATCCAAGCGGGTGTCCTGAAAGCTTCACTTTAAAGGGAACGTTTTACACCAAAACCGGCCCTCCCGGCCGAGCCTCGTGAGCTGGATGCATGACTAGCTGATCTTGGGGTCTTAGCGCGCTGCGAACGGCCAGCAGTCATGACTGACGTGACCCGTTGCATCCAAATGCTAGCTGCTGCTAGCTCATACCGCTGGCAGCTGCACACGATCTTGCTGCTGCTACACTTGCTATGCAGCACATGCATGCCCCTCACACCCTGCCCTGGCGCTGATATGACCCCACAAATTAAATGATGGTAGCAGTGATGCACTCAGCAAACAAGCAAGTCTACACTGCCTGCCCAGCGCATCTAAAAAGAGCCAGCTTGAGTTTGATGAGAGGATATGCTCGAACGGACCGAGCGGGCTGTTGTTTTGGGCCGCTATGCTTCAGATTTCAAACACTCCTCCTCTTCCAAGATCGTTGTTCGATCGAGGAAGTACCTTAGGTAGCGGAGCCAGGTTTCTCAGAAGATCATCTTCTGCAAAGTGCTAAATTCGTGTTCCTCAAAGTTCATAGCATGCATGTGCTTAGTGATGGTCTTACTGTCGCTAGCTTTCGTCAAGATGTCACTACAGTTCGAAGCAGTACCGATCTTCCGAACAACCAGCTCGTGACGAGCAACGCACTGCTGAAGCCACAAGTACCTGACTTGCACGTGCCGTTGCTTTCCTAGACCCTGGCGCGAGGCAAAGCTCTTCGCGCTGCTCGAATCGGATTCGAGCACTAAACCCAACTCGATGCCGATGTCCAGGAAGTAGGACTGCATTCCAAGGCCATGTGCAGCTCCATGCGAAATAACTGTCCACTGAAATCCTGATGTAATCCGGCATCTTCTGTTGATGATACACCAAACTGATGTTGGGGAACTGGATCAAATAGCGAGCAAGCCTTTTGAGCAATTCCCAATGCGCCAACCTGGGTTTAGCCATGCCCTGTGCCAATCGCTTCACAGCTTTAGCGATGTCGGCGCGCTCCTGGGATAGAAAGCTTGCGCGCATCACACCCGATCTGTATCGGGATGCATCCTTTGAACTCAACTCTGTTCAACACTGTTGCTTCCTGCACGCAACCTGTTGTGAATCCCAAACGATGACTCTCTCTCCTTTGATACTTGGACCCAAGAAGCTCCTTCACCTTATCAACTGCTTCAACCGGTCCAAGAACATAAAACTCATCGCCATGAACTGCACCTCGCGAAAACTCTTCTGCATTGTAAAACAACGCCGGGTTTGCTGCACCAACCCGATAGCCGCCTTCACGAAGAAGTTCTTGCCGGTCCAACATCCAAGCATGGCTTGCGTCTCTGAAACCATACATGCCTCTGTTCAACCGACCGACAATGTCACCTTCCTCCGGCTTCTTGTCCTCCTCAGGGATCTCGACATACAACTCTCGCAAGACCTTGGGCATGAAATGGGCCCTGGAAATGTCAAACACTCCCATGACCAGCTCTTTGTCCTGCTTCTCGAAGTCGGTGACCAGCAATGAAAACAATGCTTTCACCATTTCCCACGGAGGTGTAGTCGAGAACAACTCATGAGCCAGAAGCGCCTCCTTTGTCTTCGCTTTCAGCTCTTTGCCAACAATTCTTGACCTCACCTTGTAATGGGCTTTGTCTCCTTTGTTGACATCTACCCACCGAACTGGTAGGATTGGTTTGCCGCTCGCAACTGCTTGGCTCCTGGGGACTTTGTCATAGAGTCCGATCTTGTGGATCCATCCGATCTCCTCTGCACGCGCCTCCTGAACCAACTTCGATGGCAGCTGTTCTCCTGAAATGTCATCATAGATCATAGAACTGTTCAACCTTCTCTTGAAACTCCTCAGGGAACAACGGCTCTGTAGGATCAGGACCACTGGAGTATGCCTGAATCGAATTCAAACAACCATCAACAAGCATCTGGTTCTTGATGCCCTGGAGGACCGTGTACACAAGCTCGTCCGGGTACTTGGCACAAAGATGAGCAAGTCCACCAATGAGCGAAATGTGACGATGTAGAGGTCCACCAGTCCTGTTCGCGCAATGTCTGTCCAACAACTTTGCAACCTCCTTGGAGTTGGTGACGAGCTTGGTTGCCTTGTACACCAACCCTCGTCCTTGCTAGGGAACTTCCAGACCCATGCCCCAAGCACACATAGGCCCGACCACAGTGAAAACTCCTGCACGCTTCTGAAGTTTTACCATTCGTGAATGATCCCAGGACTTTGCTCCAACGGGGCGCTCATGGAGAAAGTACTTGCCCTTCTTCCAACGCTCCTCATACAAATCAATGCTCAAGCAAAGATGACGTTCTCCTCGCTCCAAAGCCTCTCTGTTCTTGGCGTTGTCGAGGTAGTACTTGTTGAGGTTTTGCAAAACACTGAAAGGGTCACAGCGCGGACTGCCTGTGAGTAAGAAAGGATCTTGCACTTCGATCAACTCCTTTGAGCTGTTTCAGATGCCCAAGTCCCAACCTGTCTCAAGGTCAACAGCGAAACCAGCATTGAGCCCCAAACGCGAAGCTCCTCTTGTGAATCTCGGCGGGCTGAAAATCTCCGCCACATCAACTGCGCCAAGCTCCTGCCTCTTGGCCGCAATCTTCCTTTTCAAGCAGTCGATCGACTCGACTCGCTTCCACTTCTTCTCTGACATCTCTTCCTCCTCATAGTCAAAGCCGAGGTAGGAAATGTCGTTTGCTGGATCCTGCCTCTTGTGCGCTGTTGCCGAACCTGAAGCCGCTGCCGAAGACGAACCGGCCTCTCCTCTCGCAAGCACCTGTTCTATCGTGGTGTCACCTGCACCCACCGCCACAACTGGCGGTTCACTTGGCACGACAACCTCAGCTTCCTCTGCTTTGGACGCCGATGGATCGAGCTCCTCAACTGCAACCTCTGCTGCCCTTTTGTACTGCATGTGTCCGACGGACTTCCACCTCTTGCTGGGTGACTCAGGGCTAGACGGCTCACTCCGCTTTGCCCCTTCTTTCTCAAACTTCTCCTCGATCCTCACCTTCTTCTTAGGTGCTGCACTGCTCTCCTCATCTCCTTTCCTCGACCTCTCAGCCTCTGCATCTGCTCTCTTCTTGAGCTCCTCTTCCTTCTGCTCTGACCTCAATGCGACCCTGTCTGCACGCAGCTCAACTCTGCGAGGGTCGACTAGGCCAACAATCCGACGACGACATTCGTCGGAATGAGCCACTGGACGGGCTCCGGCCTTGACAGCTGCGCAACCTTTGCAGTTGTCAGTGAACCCATGACGTTCCACGTCTGCTTTGCGCACGTAAAAGGCTCGTGCGTCTGGCGGGAGGTCCGGCGTTGGTGGCGCCAGCCTCGCACGCCCAACTGAAGGCAACGCTGGTCGAAGATGCGTTCCTTCTCGAACACCTGTTCGTGATGCTAGATCCCAAGGGAATCCTGCCAACTCCTCAATGCCATCTGTACTCCATCTCTGACTGGGTGGCAAACGCTTCACAGCCAAGCCAATCTTCAAACCATCTGAAGAAAGCCCCATCACGGAATTGGTACGCGCATGGTGGCCCACAAAACGAACCGGGGATGACATCGGTTCCCAATCCAGCCTGCCAGCCTTCTCCTTGGCCTCACGGATGTGAACCAGCTCTCCAAACTCAAGAGCAGGCTTGTTCCACTTCTTGCCGTAGGCTCGCTCCTAGGCTGCGCTTCCAGAACTGTCCTTCCTGTACACGTTGATCGGCTCTGCAGCGAAGTTCGCGATCCAGGAAGTCAACGGATGATCATTAGGAAGGCTCATGTTCAGCTTTCTCTCAAGCGACAATCGCAAAGCCCTCATCTGCCTCTTCAGCTCTCTCATTGCCACCTCTATACCTCCGTTGGCCTGGTGATCTCCAACAGGCGAATTCCTGTTCACGATCTCGATGTCCGGCAAGGATGCCGATACGCTCGTCTTCAAAGCCATCAAGGCTGGTTCATTGTCTGACATGTGCACCAGCCTCTTGTGCCCCGTCTCGGTGACGAAGCGGGCCACACCTCTTTGTGTGAAACCACTGTTGCTCTTGTCCGGCAGCGCAAAAGCTCCCAACATGCCTGATGGTGTCGACTTCATTGCCAAAAACGGCGATGACTGCATGAAGTAGAGGTCACTGTGCACTGTGGGTCCCTCTTCCTTCTTCTCCTTCTCTGTCCTCTTGCGGTGTGGTGTTCCTGTCGATCGAGCTTTGATGCACGCTTCACACCAATTTCTGTAGACAGCATGATTCTGGGCCTCATGCTCTTCCACCTCCGACTTTGTGGGATTCCTCACCCTGGTAGGGCTCTTCACCAAGATGCCCTCCACCGCCTCCGGGACATACCAGAAGTGCGTTTCCATCTTGTGCACCATTGGCTCGAACTGGTTGTGAATCTCGTCGAAGGACATGGAGTCGTGGATCTTGTCATCGAAGATGAGCTCGCTGGTCTCCTCATCGTAGCTCAACCTTCTGAACACCTGGGACCATTTTGGTCCTTCAGGCCAGGTGCCTCTTGTAGTGAAACAGTTGAAATCTTTGCGAATGGCCAAAAGTGCCCCTTCAGGGATTCCAGCCGGTCTTGCACTGGGCGTCAAGCCAACTTCAAATTCTTTGGGGTTCATGTAGTCGACGGTCTCTTCCGCCAAAGCCCAACCCCTCCATTGCGGAGACTCCTCACTCTCCTCTTCCTCATCTTCTTCCATCCTCTGTTCCGGGCCTCCTCCGCCCTGGCTCATCATCGACCGGACTTACGGCCTCATGGCCTGCCGCTCGTTTCCCGAGGAGGCGGAGTCGGAATCCAAGGTTCCCAACTCCTGCAAGTCACCACGCTGCTTGAGGTAGATGTTGTACAAATTGCCCTCCTTGTAGAGCTTCAGCATGCCACGCTCACCATTGACCTCGATGAGCTGCCGGGATTCCTCACCCTGGTAGGGCTCTTCACCAAGATGCCCTCAACCGCCTCCGGGACATACCAGAAGTGCGTTTCCATCTTGTGCACCATTGGCTCGAACTGTTTGTGAATCTCGTCGAAGGACATGGAGTCGTGGATCTTGTCATCGAAGATGAGCTCGCTGGTCTCCTCATCGTAGCTCAACCTTCTGAA